GATTGAGGATCGACTAGATTTCTTACACATTCAAAATCTAAATTAACCGTTTCATTTAATACAAGGAATGAACACATAATCGCATCACCGACCTTTAGGTTTGTTACTCCAGGACAACCCCTTTCTGTGTTAAACATAGTTAAAGTACAGATCTCTACAGGACAGGCATTGCTCGCCAATTAATACGTTTAACGGTTGGTATTTTGACAGAAACAGACTGATGAATTATTTTCGTCACCTGTTTTCTTCGCGCACCAGTATTAATTACGTCTTAACATGTGTTGCTTACGACAACGTGAACAGGTAATATGCTTAAAGCTGTCAATCATCCAATCTACTGTTTTTGCAAATAACAACTGGAATGTTTGCTATCATGTCGTTTCCAGTCTTTCAAACTTAACAAGATGTTTCTAGTTTTTAAAGTCTTGTTTTCTATCAAATATTGTCACTTTTAGAGTATAACACATTCAGGATAGTCAAGTTTCATGTCGTGGTGACCCAGAAATACCAAACTGTCAGAGATTGATATTGAGACGAAAGCGGCGTAAAGGATGAGCAAATTGTATGTAGGAAATTATAATATTTTCCTGAGAATAATGTCGTAGCAAACTGGCTTTTCCGACGGATTGTCAAGCAAGAGAAGACAATTGCGCTTTCTTACTGCTTCCGTCCTACAGGGTGAAATATCTTGTTATATCTTAAATGGCAAAGTTACATTTTTTTGTATGTCACATAAGCATAAAGACTACAAACAATTTTGAAAACAAAACAGAAACACAAGGACGATTGTATGTTCTCCAGCACCTGCTTATACAACATAAAACACATAAAGTGGTATAGTCCTAAATCACGGGAAATCATCGCACAAATTTCTGTATTTTGTCAGATACTTGTAATATTAAACTGTATTGTCACAAAACCATGCTGAAACCTGAAATACTCTGAAAAGTTAAACAAATATACAAATGGGATGAAATAGTGTCTTATAATACCATCAAAGAGTATAGATTAACTGGACAGTGTATTAAGGTAGTCTATAAAATTTATATATCATTTGTTGTCCTGAATACACACCAGTCCCCTCGTCACGTGATATCGAATATTTCAGCATCACATCGTACAAGTCGAGTACATATGTACCGGACAACATCAGAACGAGAACATACAAGGATATACTATATTACTTTTCAGGTCGGATGAATCGCTACCAATTTTCTGAGGGGATTATATTGTAGGAAATTGATTTAGATGTGATATAGAGAAGCTGATGTAATGTAACACAGAGTGTCTCAATACCATTATAGACAACAATGCCGGATTAACCGGAATCTAAAGCTATATCAAAGATGTACCTTTTGTCGTCATGTCAGGACGTTACCTTTAACTTCCTTAATCGTACCATTGTAGTTAACACGCGATTTCACTAGTTCTGTCATTGATTCATTTTTATAATATCTAATCTCCGTTACAACGTCGTATTTTATAAACAATAGGTGATATCATTGCAGCATTTCGTACCGTAAAAGTATGGATATTCAATACAGCACTATATTTGTAATCGGGTTCATGTCAAAGAAGAGAGGTTTGTTAAGAGAGTTTCCAATATTATCGTAACAATTGGTGGATCTAAATGCGGTAACAAAGGGTCATATGATACAATCAAAGGTTATATGATACTGACAAAGGGTCATATGATACTGATGAAGGGCCATGTGATACTGATGGAGGGTCATGTGATTCTGATGAAGGGTCATACGATACTGATGAAGGGTCATGTGATACTGATGAAGGGTCATATGATACTGATGAAGGGTCATATGATACTGATGAAGGGTCATGTGATACTGATGAAATTAAATAACACCGCTTACATTTCCTTTAACATCACTCTCTCGACAATGACAAGTCATTAAATAACATCTATTACAGTTTCTTTTACACAACCCCCTCGGTAATGGGAAAACACAAAATAACACCTGTTACATTTCCTTTTACATAACCCCCTGGACAATGGGATCCCATTAAATAACATCTCTTACATTTCCTTTTACATAACCCCCTCAGTAATGACAAGTCATTAAATAACATTGTCGTCTCTAATGATACGGCGTTACACGAGAAAATAGTTCATAATTTTGATTGAGGTGTAGAGAGAAACATTATGTCTATCTGCTATAAAGCTAGTAAAGAAATATGTACAAGCACTCATTAATAGAATTCGATATCGTGAAAAAAGTACTGTCCTTAATTGTGTACAGTTTAATATCGAAACGTAATACTACAATAATACAAGAATTGCTAAATAGTCAGTCGTATATACTGTTTCAGTGATATTTCATGATATAACACTGATATAAATGTACTTGTCTACTCAGTTTCAATCATTATCAGATATCGTCAATACTGAGCTGAAAATCGATTATATGAAATCATGCGAAAACATACTTTTTAATTAATCTAAATTTTTAATAAAACCAGTAAATAATAGTTAACATGACTTTACATTTTTCTCTGTCTATCTTCCTCAATGTTCTCTGTCTATCTTCCTCAATTAAGAATCAATGCATCGCTTTAAACATGAATGCTGCAATTGTGATACATCAATAAATATTTTCTGCTAAATCTCTGTTCGGGAAAGTTAGTTCCGAATACAATTTACAGGCTCCACAATAAATTCTGTGTAAATCAACTTCTATCAATAAATCTTATGTTCGAGAATATTTAATGCAGCATTGCATAAGCTAAGATAAGACTCCCCAATGTCAGAGCATTACCGTGTTAAATGGCATCCGTTTTGACAAGGATGAAATACCTTTCATGTAACAATACATTGAACTGACGTTTTAATTATGTTCCTTTCCATAAATTATTGTCGAAAATTATCCGAAACTTGCAATGTTTTATGACAATGTATAACGTCATGTACGATTTAACGGCTAATTAAATTGATGTTGTACCAGACTCATTGTTGTTACCATGACATCAGGCATATGCTGATGTAATTTTCCGAGATATTATTTTCATTTATTTGAGATCCATTTTGCACACGTTAGTTAAACATTTCCTATTCCATGGTTTAGACTGACTACCAGCTCTCTAAGTCACCTTAATGTGAAACTTAGGGTCATATATGCATGTATACCGGTTTACCGGTATATGAGTGAATTCTGATTGTATTTCAAATATCCTAGGGGCTGGAACAAATTTATACAGAGTGAGAAGATCATCAAATAGAACATATTAGTTACAATTGATAATCCAGTAATATTTACAATTTTATCTAAGATCATAAAGTTACTTGTATATCCTGAAGGTTTTTATTGTCTATGCCAAAAACAAATCGGTTGTGATGTCGTAAAATTGACAATGACGTTACGTCATAATTTGAAAATGGCTTTTGTTTGACATTAATCCCTGTCAAATGTCAAAGCTTGCAAAATAACAAAAGAAACTTCCAACACTCTTTACAAAAGTAAATTTATTATTAGATATATCGAACAAAATAAACAGATTACAAGAAATGCTGAATAACTATTTTTGCGTTCTGCACCCACTGAAAATTTTCAAATACTTTTACCGTGTAAATTGTACTTCTACAATTACTTATATCTAAGTAAGATTAGGTTCATGTTAGTAACCTCATTTGAAAAAGTGACCTTTTTTTTGGGGGGGGGGGGGGGGGGGCACGGCAAATATCGCCTACGAAGCAGTATACTTTTGCCTTTTCAGAACACGTGGTCTTATTTTTTTAAAACATTTCAAAAGTTTCCATGTAAATTTATATTTCTTGACTTCGAATAGGAATTAAATTTGACACACACGTCTCATTCCTCTCTTTTGTCTATAGCTCAGTGATAACTTCCATGTATTGAGTTAAAGTAAAGTTTGGGAATGTTTATAACAAAATCATGAATGTAAAAATTTCAAACCTTTTCTAGGATTTCGTTAAGATATAAGTATATGACAAAGAATAGCTACTATTTAAGGAATTTTTCTCTTTGTCAAAATTAGTGAGGTCATAATAACAATGAACATCTGGACTTATTCTTCATGAACAGCTTACGCGGTCTTGTGTATGTTGAAAAGTCCTGCTTTATATTTACACAGTTTTAGAGAATCAACCAATGCACAAACACAAGGCATTAAGTACATATGTACTTACGACTGACACCAGAACAACCTTTTTCGCGGGAAATGTCATATTAAGATCAAAGTAACTTTATAACAACTGCACAAGAAATATATTTACTTAAACAAAAATAATTCACTGTCACTTTGCTTTCATTTTTTGACAAACTCAAACGCATATTTAAAAAAATATTTCTCTTTGTTTATTCCTATCTACAACAGAAGAAAGACTGGCTCGACGGCGGTTGTTTCGATTCATCAGGTAATGCAGTTTGAGAGTATTGCTACAAAATGAAGCTTCAGTAATCAGGTCATTGTTGGTTTGAAAAAAATAAATGTGTTTTTTTTTCTTATGCTCTTGGTCATACCGCATGTAAATATTACAGTTTAACAGGATGAGTATGTACTGTGTATCTCTCATCACTGTCCTTACTTCCATTTTTATGACATTATGAATGGCCAGGATGTTTGATTAGCCCCTCCTCTGTGATCGTTGTAAGGTCAGTGTAGTGTGATAGGACGAACCACTGATGTACAACATTAGTGATGCTTGGCTGACTTATCACCCATGGATAATGTAAATCAAATAGTTTTCTTTAGTTGTTTGTAATTTTATCATGCTAAATTAATAAAAATGTAGAAAGCCACCCGGTTGATGAGATATGAGGTAGTCACCAGCAGTGGTATATATTGCCGTAGACGTGTAGATTCCCTCCAGGATACTGCCCGCCCTTCATATTGGATTTACTGAGATTCGTTGCTCTGCATCTACGCTGCTATGACAAGAGCGCACGTGTAGATTCTCTCTAGTCGTAAGACCGCACGTCACTGGTTAGTTATACCTATACTTGTCCTGCAGTACAGAGCTATTCTAATTCACTGTGTAGATTAACTTATTGCTAATTGGTTCTTATCAGTTATTGGCATTTTTACGATGTAGAGAAATCCTTTTAGATAATTTTGAGAGTTAGTATGAAACAAGAATCCGATAAAGAGATGGGTACATAGAGACGTACAGCGTGTATCATACTTATTATGCGGAGTTATTGAAAACAAATACACAAAAAGTTTGGACAATAGATTTATCAACGGATTTACCAATATTCCATTTGGATCAAGTACTGATTAACCATTAATATCAGGAAGTATTGCTCATTCACAAATCTTATTTCTTTATTATCATTATAACTGATTGTTAAACTAAATTGGAGTAATGAGCACCAACAGCAGTTCGGTTGTGATCGGAAATGGGACGAACTTGTCGGATATTTACAACGAGGAAGCTTACTTAGCCCAGCGATTAGGGGTGAGACATGTCCCCTTGTCGTTACTCGTCTTCCTCTTTATCGTCTATGGCACTATCTTAATTGCTGGAACTGTGGGAAATATATGTACGTGCATTGTCATTGCACGTAATAGGACCATGCACACCGCTACCAATTATTACCTATTCAGTCTGGCTATTTCGGATCTCCTTACTCTGATTCTGGGTAAGTACAGCCCTTTACTCTGTTTTTTACATAAAACAAAATCATATATTGACACGAATGTACAAATGTTTTTTGATCAAATTGTAGTAGTAACACGTGAATAAAAAATAATTAAAAAGCATTTCAAGACACATAGTAATTACTCGTAACATTTGAATAAAAACAAATAATTGTATCAACATATGTGAGTCGACACTTTCTTTAGTAACAACTGGTATGTCAACATATGTGAGCGCCATTTTCTTTAGTAACAACTGCTATGTCAACATATGTGAGTCGACACTTTCCTGAGTAACAACTGATATGTCAACATATGTGAGTCGACACTTTCCTCAGTAACAACTGATATGTCAACATATGTGAGTCGACACTTTCCTGAGTAACAACTGATATGTCAACATATGTGAGTCGTCACTTTCCTTAGTTACAACTGATATGTCAACATATGTGAGCGTCACTTTCCTTAATAACAACTGATATGTCAACATATGTGAGTCGACACTTTCCTTAGTTACAACTGATATGTCAACATATGTGAGCGTCACTTTCCTTAATAACAACTGGTATGTCAATATATGTGAGTCGACACTTTCCTGAGTAACAACTGATATGTCAACATATGAGTCGACACTTTCCTTAGTTACAACTGGTATGTCAACATTTGTGTGTCGACACTTTCCTTAGTTACAACTGGTATGTCAACATATGTGAGTCGTCACTTTCCTTAGTTACAACTGGTATGTCAACATTTGTGTGTCGACACTTTCCTTAGAAACAACTGGTATGTCAATACTGTGAAGCATTTTTTACTATGACAACTTATATGTGAAAATACACAAATATCATTTTCATAGTAACGACTTTATCTCTATATAATGTAATGATTAAATGGTAGAAACAATATCACATCGTTCAGTCGTACTTCGTAACGTCTTGTTTGGTATATGTAGACTTTGTGATGTCACTGCCATGTATGTCTATTTCAAAGAGATGCTAATTTTGTGTTTGGTTCGATAACAATGGAAAACAATTTACATCAACATATGGTTGATTACGTAACAGCAATATACATTTTCATAGAGAAAAAAAACATTATATCTACACTAAAACTTTATTATATTTTATCATAAGATACTATAGTAGGAAATCATGAGCCCGGATGTTTGAATTTCTCTTCCTGTTAAAACCCTACCAGACCTATAACATGTAGTAGTGATGCTCTGGCATTTTACTTGGCACTACAAACTGAAAGTGTGGTTCAATTACGATTTTGTGTTGTACCTGTAACATCTGTGAGTAACTTCTACACATGGTAATTTTAATGACGTTTACTCTATTCAAAAGTAATACTACAAGAAAATTTGATGGTTCGTTTGTGAATAAGTCAGTTCCCGGCATTATTTTTTTACCGTCACTTATTTATACTTCGTATCCAACATTAATTTAAATATTAAAAAGAAGTAATTAACAAACAGTTCAGTTTCATTGCAAACAAACAAGCCGAAACCTAGATAATTTTGATAATAAAGCGAAATAAATCGGAGGTAGCACGCGTAACGACTTAAAATTATGATAATGTAAACCGATAACGTTGAAAATGTATACATTCCGTGTTGAACATACGTAAAATCACGTAATATTAATAAGCAACTTTCTAAACTTTATTAAATTGCTCCATAAAGTAGAGAATTTCCCTTCCTCGCCGACTTCTTTTGCAAGACATTAAAACTGTAATTGGAGAACAAGAACACGTTTCAATGTCTTCAAGAATCCGCGGGGACCGGTCTTATCCATTCGAACGAGAAATATTTTTATTGTTTCTCAAATAGGCGGGACAACACGAAGAACCAACTAGACCATTAAAGAGGATATTACTTACAGATATAACATGTTACTTAATTTGGCAAAAAAATGAGGACATGAATGTTACACGCAGTTTCACCACGCAGAGTATATTCTTTGGAAAGTTGTATAAGTTATATAATTCAATATCCCACAAACCATAGTGTAATGACTACCGCTTACTGACTATAGCTATAGGCAGCAAGCTGTAACGTGAAGCAGTAAGCAGTGGACAGTATAACAAAGCAAGCAGGGAACAATTGAAATGTAGCTACCTGTAAGAAGTGCCCAGTAGGAAGGACATTGTCCCTTTTGGAATTTTGGTTGAGGAATCATATATAAGTATGAAACATGAGAATAAACTGATTTCAATACCAGGAAATATACAACATCAATACCAGGAAATATACAACATAAATACCAGGAAATATACAACATCAATACCAGGAAATATACAACACAAATACCAGGAAATATACAACATACAACATAAACACCAGGAAATATACAACATCAATACCAGGAAATATACAACCTAAATACCAGGAAATATATAACATCAATACCAGGAAATATACAACATACAACATAAACACCAGGAAATATACAACATAAATACCAGGAAATATACAACATAAATACCAGGAAATATACAACATCAATACCAGGAAATATACAACATAAATACCAGGAAATATACAACATAAACACCAGGAAATATACAACATCAATACCAGGAAATATACAACATCAATAGAAAGCAATCAGAAAGTCAACCTAAAACAAATAGAGATACATCTGCTCAACTGTTAAACATAATAACAAATATAAGGCAGCAAATACCAAGGCACCAAGGATATATAACAACACGGCCAACACCAAACATAAAGGAAATGTAACAACACAGCCAACACCAAACATAAAGGAAATGTAACAGGCAACACCAACACATAAAGGAAATGTAACAGGCAACACCAACACATAAAGGAAATGTAACAGGCAACACCAACACATAAAGGAAATGTAACAGGCAACACCAACACATAAAGGAAATGTAACAGCCAACACCAACACATAAAGGAAATGTAACAGGCAACACCAACACATAAAGGAAATGTAACAGGCAACACCAACACATAAAGGAAATGTAACAGGCAACACCAACACATAAAGGAAATGTAACAGGCAACACCAACACATAAAGGAAATGTAACAGGCAACACCAACACATATGTAACAGGCAACACCAACACATAAAGGAAATGTAACAGGCAACACCAACACATAAAGGAAATGTAACAGGCAACACCAACACATAAAGGAAATGTAACAGCCAACACCAACACATACAGGAAATGTAACAACACAGCCAACACCAAACATAAAGGAAATGTAACAACACGGCCAACACCAAACATAAAGGAAATGTAACAACACGGCCAACACCAAACATAAAGGAAATGTAACAGGCAACATCATAAGAAATAAATGTTCTGTAATCGTATTTCTTTTGACACCTTTGCACAATATACATTTATAATAAATAAACGTAATGATGAATTAGCGCAAACATTTTCTATATTTACGACATTCAGATGATGCAATTAACGCAATCATATTTTAGCGGGTTTTTTGGGGTTTTTTGGGGGTTTTTTTCTACATCCCCTGCAAAATGCGAAAAAAATGTTTTCAACTGTTGTTTACGTTTTCATGGAGTTTTGACCAAATATACCGCTAAAATACGTCCGTTTAAATTTAACTTCAAAAAGGGAAACATCAACTATAATTCTTAAGAAAGTCAATGTTAACAAAATAACAAAGTTGATCTGGAAGGAAATACTTTGACAAAAAGAAAACAGAAAACCAAACGATTGAACCACTGCTTGCCATTTTCTACTCGCGGTTAAAGAGGGAGATCATGTGAGACTGTTCTCTGCTTTTTGTTTAATTTTGTTGTTTTCCATATAATAGATGTCTTCCTAAGTTTAACTACCGTAAAACAATATAAATCATTAATCTTATGATACGTATATAACGGTTTTAGTTTACACTCACGTCAGGATAGAAAATAATTTCATTCATGAGCATTTCCCCCACGTGTATCTGCTTAATGATTAAGTGATAACTATATTCAGATCTGCTAAATGATGCGTGAAGAACAACGCTACGTTTTTCAATGTTTATCGCGATGTTACAGTTCTAGAAGAGTTTGTGTGATATGTTCCTAGTTGATTTACCCCCAACACTATCACAGAGATGTCTATTTCCTGCTGGGTTGATTTAGTATTTCTCTATGAAAACTTGTGGTTTTTTTTAATTCGTCGATGCTCTACCGGAAGGATGATATTTTCAGAAGATGTATGAAAGTTTTTTATACTGTGGTCCCATTTATAACATATACATGATGTGTTTATGAGTGGCTCGTTATCAAAAACATCAAAGAATAAAAACTGATAGTGATTTTGCGATATCTCACACGATACGGCAATCTCAAAGATGGTATACAATTTCTAGATTTTGCTTATGTGTGTCTAAAATCATCGTGTAACACTGACAACATAGATCAACTTACCGGAACCCTTTCATCTTGTAAAGAAATGAAACCGTTATGTGTATCATGACAATGATAGAATCGATGCTATAACACCTGTCTCTACACCACTCCGTCAGTCAAGGTCTCTTCTCTCAAGGGTTGGTGTTAACGAGCAAACTTTACATATATACCCTCTCGTGATATATTTGCTAATGGAGTCAAGTTTGTGTAATTAACCATTTCGCTTCCAATAATTCCTATTCCCAAGTAATATATATTTAGATAATAACACTGGTACAGAAGTCTCTCTCGTTTCACTTCAAGAATTGTACAAAAGACAAACAAGTGAATAACACCTTTTTATTACAACTTTAGAGTTAGATACAGTAGAGCCAAGCGATGTATTAAACTGTTTCATACAGCTGTTTCGTCGCTCCAGGACTCGTCAGTGTTGCTGGGGGGTGGAGGGGGTTGGAGGGGGATCGACAGCAATTTCCAAAGTGATCAAAAGAAAAATCAAAATCTATATTGGCAGTGCACTGGTCCAATGATTCTATGAGTTCTGTTTAAAAACAACGTCGTGTACATATGTAGACACCATTTTATTAAAATAAGAATTTATATA